CTGCCAATGAAACTGCTTGCTCGACATTACAAAGTTGATCTGAAAAAAAAAATAAAAAAAATGAATAGTTTTTGAATTTTAGCACTTACGCACTATATTTTCTATTGAAACACATACAAAATAAATGCATACAAAACTTACTTCTTTGCCACTTTTAATGATGTGTGTTACTGTGGTATTCCAACTCCGCACACCTGTATCAATGCCCAAATTTACAAATTTTTTGAATTTGCCATCCATAATTATTTGAACGATGCGACAAGAACGGTCGATTTCTTTGTTATTTGTCTTCTTCTTGGCCGAGTACTGCAGAGACATCGCGATTCCATCGGTGTTTATGGAAAAGTCAAACTTCTTTTTTCCGCGCACGAATCACCGAATTTTCCGCATGTAGAAATACTGATTCCACCAATGATCACTCGCATCGTTGAAATCCTTTCGTGGAATATTAATTATGCTGGTTTTACCGTTTTTATTCTCAACTTCCACTTTCGGTGGCAGTTTTTGCGAAGACAACACCTGGTGCATACTCGAACAGTCAATTTTGAAGTGCTTTCGGCGAAAATCACACATCGGCACCACTACTAAATTCCGGATGAATGGCCGAAAGTTTGGATCGTCGAGCATTTGTTTGCGCTTGGGGCGACGCTTTGACTTTTTGCGCTTTCTTTTCTTTCGTTTGGATCGGTGCTGATGTGGCCACACCAAGTTGTACTCTTCTATCTCTCTTTGCATAGATAGGAACATTGGCATGGCCTTAAACCAATGTTTTTCGTCAGTCCGAAGGTCATGCAGATCGATTTCTGGAAACACATTCAGGTCGTTCACCATGTCATACAACATGCCACACCGTTCGAGTTTGTTTGGATCGTGAATTGGCACTTTGATGTTTGTTTTTTTTTGATGATAAGTTTTACAACACTTTCGATGTCACTTGGCAAAAATTTCTCTGCGTCCTCTTCTCCGTCTGTGCTCAATTCGAACACTTTCAGTTTCAAGTACTGGGTGATGTGTTTGTTAGGATGCGTTGTTGAATTGGTGACGACGTTGTCTGTGTATTGATTGGTCAAATGCTTGAGGCCATTGCTGAAATCTTTGTTATTGGGCCAATCGATGCGATGGTAGTCGTCAAGACCTTCGACAATTGCTTTGAATTCAGAATCGATACGTGGCAGCTCTGCTCGTGGTCCTCGTGGCTTTGTTCCTTGTGGTTTGTAACTCGACTTCGGTTTCGATGGCTGATTGTTAAGCCATAGCACTTGGTTAAAGCAGAGTTTGATATTTTTATCTCCACTTCCACCAAAGAATGCGAAATCATTATTCTCAATGCCTATGTTCGTACGCCTTTTGCACCTCAAACAAGAACAGTAATGAGCCCAAAACGCAAATTGATGTGGCTTGCAAGCTCAGGTCCGTTATTTTGCTCATCAATGCTTGCTAGAATTGTGGACGAATGATTACCTTCAGCGCACATTTGATCGTCGTAATCTCATCCTTCGTTTCTCCCTTCGCTGGTATGGATGGCTTGAAACGATTCGCCATTTACCTATTGGGAAAAAAACACACATTCGATTTAGTTCAAAAAGGAATACTATTATATTGGCGATATTTAGACATTTTCATTGATCCATATCGATATTTTTTCTAAATGATTTTTCATATTAATGATACCTGGCTGAGACACAAAAATATCGAGATTTTTTGATAGAAATTTACGAATGAATAAATCTCCTGCACAAATATGCACACACGCACACACATGTTTTAAATTCAATTTGTCCGAGCGACAACAGAACAAGAATCTATCTCCATTTTTGGTACATACACAAAATGATACAACACACAAAAATGACAAAAATCTTCGGATTGATAACAATGGCAGTGATTTAGAGAAGAAAACAACGTAACGGATACTATTGAGTATTGAGATTTAACTCAAAATAGGTATCACCACTTGATAGGTATCACCACAGACTATGGTTTGACAATGCCCTGGCCCATCCTGAGGATCCACTTCCAGAACTGAGAGCGGTTCTGATGATCCTGAGGATCCACCAAAGCCCACTTCCAGAACAAAGACACTTACGTTCTTTTATCCAAACCAACAAAACTGAAACATGCATCTCTTTTCCAACAACTGATTCAGCCGAAATACATACTCTCTTTTTTTAAAATTTATCTGGTGCGAAACATGCATTCCTTTTCCAATAACTGATTCAGCCGTAATACATACTCTCTTTTTTCAAAAATTTACTTGGCGCAAAACATACATTTCTTTATTGCAACAAAGTCGAACACACTTGCGTTCTTTTAGATCTCACCAATAGATATGTTCAACGTTAAATATATTTATTAGACTACTTAAATATATTTCACGTTATGAATGGCTTATATTACGTGCTATGAAATAAAAATGAACTTCACAATAAGAACAAGAAGAATAACTGCTTGGAATAAGCACGTAATTCAAAAAAATACTAGTTTTTATTGATGAATCAATCAATATTTTTCACGGTAGTAAAATGATTAAGTTTACTCACACTGATGACTTGAATTCAACAATCTGTCTGAACTCCGGATCAATCGATTGATCAAGTGTTGAAAAATTCGGATCAAATCGATACAAAACGCACGTTTATCGAAAATAATATGAATTATCAGCAAAATCGTAGAATAATTGAAACGTTGAATTGGAATTTACACTGCTGTAGTTTATATCGTAAAAAATGTAAGATTGATTCGTTGACTTGGTATTTACAACGCCAAACGTTATGGATGAACGTTATTTTCATCGGTATGGATGAAGCGGCGTTCATGAGATTTCGAAAACCAATGAAATGAACTTCAAATGTCATAAGGCTCAGTTCACATCAATAATACTAATTCAACATTTGGATAAAAGACAATTTTTGCTTTAAAGAAGTTTTTGCCTCGGGAAGTGTCAATATCAATCGATGCTTTACATTAATGCTACGATTTGAAACAGAATTTTATGCTTTTTATAAACACAAACTCGCAGAAATGTGTGTTTGCAAGATGTGTGCAGGATTTGTGCACAGAATATGCATACACACATTTTTGGCTGAAAATGCATTACATTTGGTTTATTGAAACATACCATTTTTTTATTTACAGGTATGAAAAACACCCTAATATACATATAATGGCATTTATTATGATCATTATACAGTTGCACATTGACTTCGCTTTTGGCACTTATTCGTTTGATAGCAGAAATACTATATCATTGGCCACTGTTCAGTAATTGCAGTGTACTCCCTCAGTTTGGTCATTTTTTGACGCTTCATTTCGTCTATTTAATTATGTGCGGTGCGTAACTTTTAAGCTGAAATCTATGCAAACCTCAAAGCCTGTTCAATTTCTGAACTGACAATTCAACACAATTCAATGAATTTTATTGTACATTTTTTACGATATCAATACCAATAGAAATGGTGTTTGTTTGGTACAATTACAATAATAAATCTGAATGAAAAAAATTTCCAAATTTGAACGCATTGATTTTGCAATAAAATTAAGTCTCAATCAATAAAAAAATAATAAGAGAAATCTTCGTGCTCATTTTTAAAATAAGAATGAATCATTTGAAAACACACAATTGAAATAATTTTTTTTAAATGCGATTGCATCAAATGCACATGTATGTAATCCGCAATCACAAAATAAATCGTACACACATTTTGAACCAAATGTGCAAGCATTTATGCGTATACAATGTGGTTTGATCAACATGTTGAGAGTTCTTTCATTAAAGCACTAAATGTTGGCACAAATTACATTATAATATTCTCTGCGCGCAATGACACAGTTTTTTTTGCAGCCGTATTTTTTTCTTCTATTTTGTTATTACTATTGAATTGTATTAATTGTATTACAATGCATGCACATGCTGCATTTTGGTTACGCATAAGATATGTTCAACTATCTCAAGCATGAAATAACTGCAACAATTGATTAATTAGCCGAGTGTAAGAAAAACAATTATTCGTTGCTGAAATTGTCCGATATGGTAATAAATATTGCTGTTTGATGCTGCCATTTCAAAATTTATCTTTACGTTGATTTATTATTTCAAATTTGATTGATGGGTAGAAATGGCTTTTATTTCCTCCACCAGCTGCTAATAATATTCCTCTATTGAGATTTTCGCAGGATTAGGGGATTATTTTTAATCTTACATAATGTAGTTCGGCGAAATATTACAAAGATCGCACGCATGCATGTATGTGTACTACACATTGTGTAGTGTGAATTATTTGTTTGATGTTTAATCATTATTGGTTAAAAAAATGGATGTAAAAAATTTGATGCATTGTGCAAATTCTCTTCGCATAAAGAGAATGAGAAAACCTATTTCTTGGTATTATTGAATTCACTTTGATGGTTCCGAATCAAGAGCTGTTGAAATCAAGAAAACACATTTCATAGCAATACATTAGTACTTAAATTTCGATTTCATAATTGGTTTTCATCCGGGAAATGAGATCAAATGAGAAAAATGTTGCTTACATTAATTTTACGCTTCCAATGGAATATCTTCATATTTCACAGTTAGCTTAGTATTATATTACTGTTATTGCTGTCATTTTTTTCTTGCAAGAATTGGCCAAATTCCATTATAAGCCAGTAATCTTATAAAGAAAAAAATCTTATTACGATTTTTGAAGCTCCAGACAATGTAATTAATTGAATGAGCAAAACAACAATTGAACCGTCATTTGTTTGTTTACAACAAATCGTGATGTATTTCATAATTCAAATCTTAATTATAACAAATATTTAAATTTTTCGATTAAAATCGTCAAAATTCATTTAAAAACATGAACGACGTGGTATACATTGAAGATGGGAAGTGCGAAGAATTTTTTTATTATAAATTGTGCGAGAATCTATGAATGCACTCAATAAAATATGAATATTGTTTATTTCCGCTTTACTTGTATATCACTCACATATCAATTTAATTTATAAACTTTCAGATGCATGTCTGGCTCATTCCATTCGTAATAATATTGAATGTGGTTGTTGCCGTTCAAATAGGGCCGACATCATTTAAAATTATCCAACATCATGCACCAGGGCAAACGCAATACCAATCATACTATCCAAAGAAACCAACATTTTTGGGCTCATATGCTCAAAGCTACATCGACACCGGCACCAGATCGATTTTCAGGTAAAAATATCAATGTTATTTATTTTTCTCGTTGTGAATTAAAAAAACCCGATCACATAATATCACATCATTTATCTTTTAATTGAATCATCCAAGGTGTGAAAGAGCAAATAATTATAAAATACAAAAGACAGAACTAAAATAGCTAACAATCTGTAAAGAGAGCATTTTACTGAAAAACTTGATGCATGTACATCGTTTTAGTTGTAATGACTGTCTAACAAGATTCGCTATAGATGAATTAGCGCCGACTATATTTCATAGACCTGATAAATGCGGCTTTCAAGGTAGAGTGATTTTCGAACATACCTCATACAAAATGCTTCGAAAATACTTTACTTATGTTCGCTAAAATCGATATTATTTTAATGACAGAAAATCGGTTTTTACTTTAAAAAAAGCGTTGTTGTACTGAATTTACACTCTCTTTTCGCTTCCACACGAACCGGCGCGACTACTAATGAATACGTGCGAATTTAATAATATAAATAAAAAATTCCAATCGATTTGTATCTATGTTTCGGTGTTGATTTTTACTTTTGATCAACAACAGCAAAATTTATTCGGTGTAGACAAGGAACTATTTAGTCTTTCAATAAATAAGTTTGAAAAATATATTAAATTTCATGTTTCGCTATTGAATAATAATTTAAGTATCGATGTAAATTTTCAGCAATTTGATAACCGCACCAACGTATGCGAAGCAGTTATCAAACGAAATTCGATGTGCCATACCACCACAGCGTTGTGTACGATCACCATATCGCACGCTCGATGGAACTTGTAACAATTTGGAGAATCCAATATGGGGGGCCGCCAATACAAGGTAACGCGTATTGATTACTATTTGAAAATATGCATAAAAGTAATGTTGCAATTTTTTAATTTAGATATTCACGTCTTTTATCGCCGAGATACGGTGACGGATATGCATCACCAACGATTTCGATAACTGGACAAGAATTACCAAATTCACGTTTAGTATCGCTTATTGCATTTGGTGAAGCAGACGTTGCCGATCCACAGTTCACATTGGTAAGTATATTCGCACGATAATTAGTTTGAGCAGATTATATACCATTCGATTAATAGGCCAATATGCAATGGGGACAAATTATAACTCATGATATGAGCATGTTGGCAGGATCAACCCAATCAAGTAAGCAACATTTGAAGAATTCATAAAATAATCTTTTGTATTGTAAATATGGCACAGTTGATGATCAACATTTTTCACATTTAATTTAGAAAAACACGCAACTAGATGTTGTACCGATGATGGTTTACTCATAACAACAAATGCACCAGCGCATTGTTTTCCAATTATTGTTCCCAAAAACGACCCTGCACATTCACTTGACAACGTTCAGTGTATGAACTTTGTAAGAACTTTAACGGATAAGGATCAAAACTGTCTAGACACACAAGCCCAACTTCCAGCTGAACAGTTAACTGTTACGACAGCATTTTTGGACTTATCACTTGTGTACGGAAATTCGGACGAACAAAATCGACCCATAAGAGCTTTCCATGGTGGCAGAATGTCAGTAAATTTTTATTTTGAAATTGATCTTTTATGTTGATGTATTTCATTTGCTATAAAAATTCGTTATTATGTTTTGAAAATTTTGTTTAAAAAAATCAGGTCGGTGATTGAGCGACGTGGCTATGAATGGCCACCGCAAGCTCAAAATGCAACGGCTTCATGCGATGCACAAAGTTTAGATGAAGTGTGCTATCGAACAGGAGACGTTCGAACCAATCAAAATCCCGGCCTTGCCATTTTTCAAATTATTTTGATGCGTGAACACAATCGTATTGCCGATGTTTTACAACAAATCAATCCACATTGGGATGATGAGCTAACGTATCAAGAAGCCAGACGTATAAATATTGCACAATACCAACAAATCACTTATTACGAATGGTTGCCAATATTTTTGGGCACATCAAACATGATTAAAAATCGACTAATCTATCAAGTTGAACCAGGAAGTTATGTAAATGACTATGATCCAACAATTGATCCATCGATTTTAAATGCACATGCAACGGCTGCGTTCAGATATTTCCATTCACAAATTGAAGGAAGACTTGAGTAAGAATATACACAGTTAAATGTATTCGATTTTTAAAAAAAATTAATTCAAATTTACATATTTAATTTCATTACGTTTGCAGTTTGATATCAGAGATTCGATCAAGCACCGGATCGTTGCGCTTGAGTGACTGGTTTAATAGGTAAATGTATAAATTGGTATATATATATAGAAGTTGATTTAAATATCTATTTATAAATAATTTCTAGGCCCGCCGTTGTTGAAGCCGGAGACAATTATGATTATTTGATTCGAGGCTTGAGCACTCAGCCAGAGCAATTGACAGATATCAATTTTGATCCCGAAATCAAGCACTTTTTCTTTCGACGAAATAGACCATTTGGCGGTGATCTGCGTACACTCGATATTCAACGAAATCGTGACCATGGATTGGCTAGCTATAATGATTTTCGTGAATTTTGCGGCTTACGTCGTGCCGAACGATGGGAAGATTTTCTCGATTTAATCTCAGCAAAGAGCGTTGAAAATTTACAAACACTTTATAGCAGTTTTGAAGATGTTGATTTAACGGTTGGTGCTTCGCTTGAAGCTCACGTTGAAGGTAAAATTAAAAAATATGAAAAGTATAGTTAGTAATATAAGAAATTTTAAAAATCTACTTATTTTTCTACCTGAAGGTACATTGGCTGGACCAACATTCTTGTGCATTTTAACGGAACAATTCTATCGCACACGTGTTGGTGATCGGTATTTCTATGAAAAGGGTGACAAAGAAATGGCCTTCTCAAGAAGTAAGAAATACATTCAAATCCATTCGCAAAATCAAAATCATTTATGTTATTTTTACTTTTCGTTAGGTCAATTGATTGAGCTAAAAAAGGCGAGTATGGCCCGTTTACTATGTGACAATAGTAATCATGTGAACAGCATACAACCACAAGCCTTCAGACGGGTTTCGAAATCGTAAGCCAATCTTATTAAAAATGCATTGACTCCAATTAATAACTTGAATATGTTTTTTAGCAATGAAATTATTCCCTGTTCATCCATACCAGTGGTTGATCTCTCAGCTTGGAAAGATCATTCGGTATTATCGAACGCATATCAAGGAACTCAATCGTATTTCTCAACAAATCCGTATCTAAAGAAATAATGCTCTCTCTCTCCCATCTTCTGACAAAGCTACATATTCAACGCATGAATTCGGAAAGAAATAGAATGTTACCTCTAATTTAATTAATTTTAACGAATCTATGGGAATAGCATTTTCTAGAATTGTACGATATTTAAAAAAAAAAATGAAACTAAAAATAAAAATGTTTTTAGACGAAATGAAAATCAATTGTTGTGTTGTTATTAATGTCACCATTACTAGAAGTACAACAGTTGTGTTCGAAATTCGCATATCTTTGCCAAATACGTAGTAACTATGAGAAAAATTATATGAATAAAAAACGATTGGTAACAACAAGTTTTCATTTAATTCAATAGAACTACAATGCTTTGAACAATCGAATGATATGTAATTGTGTCCTTTTAACTTTCGGCTTTATATTTCTCTGGATAAGCTGTTTTTCGATCCGACGGTGGTGCTTGCAATATGATAGTTGGTTGCGAATGCGGCGGAATCATTGTAAGCATTTCTTGAACACTTTGCATATCAGGTGAATCATGCTCACAATGATGTTCACCGCAAAATTTACATTCATATATATTTGGTTGTAAAGCGCTTCGTATTTTCTGCAATAAGTTGAGAGAGGAAAAACGTATTTAAAAAATCGATCAAAAAATGAATTTCCGTAGGTAATCTTACTTTAAATAATGTGTTTCCATTGCCTCGAATTATAGCGATCACACCAAATATTGGAATACAACCAAGCGAAGCGGCCGTAAAACTCCATCCAATCCAATGCGCCCATGCAGGATATTTATAATCACCATTATCGTATGTCGGTGGTTCATAATTGAACAAACTAAACAACCATAGTGTCTGATATTGATTGAAAATATTTTAATTACGATTAAAAGAGATAACAAATAAAATGAATTTCTGTTGAAAATTTAATTTACAAATAATAGTAGTGGTCCAACGATGAGCCAACATGAACGGAAATATAGTGATGGTACTTTGCCAGTCATTTGTTTTATGTTACGCGACAATCGAGATACACCTTAAATATGAGATAAATCATTTGTTTCAAATAACTTTTTACGAGATCCATAAAAACTTTTTTGTATCTATTTTTTTCTATCATAGAATAACTCTCTAAAATAATAAAAGTGCTCACCGTAAAACCAGGCAATTGCTATCATTTGAAAAAAAGCCAAAAACATTATTGACACCGAAGCAGCGTAATGATCAATAAGTTGGAAATAATAAATGCCGCCCTGTATTAAATTTGGTAATCCGAAAAAGAATGACACAATCACCACGATCAATACGAGCAGCTCATGATAAACTAATTTTGATTTGATCCATTTGGGAAAACCATCTTGAATTGAGGTGACGACCACTTCAACAATGGCAAACTAAATTCCAGAGAAATGAAATCAACCAAAAAAAATTCATTGAGAAAAAGTGAATCAATCTGGATTGTATATACATAGATTTCATACAAGACGAAACTTTCATGAATGAAAATCCGTTTTTGCAACAGTTTCCAATAAAAAAACCGTTTTAACAAACAACTATTAATTTTAAAAATATAAATGAATATGAATACTAATTTATAAATATATATATTTTTTAAAGTGGTACAATGCAGCTGTTTTTGTCACATACACACAGAATCATCAATGATTTTTGTCTTTCCAAAGTATTTTAACGGTTCCATTTTGCGTTGCGTGCTCCTAAATAATTTCAAATTTGAAATCATTTGAATCATTCAAAATGGGACACGAAATGTTATGAACTAGAAAAATTTATTCGAATTACACTTAATTGAATAATGAAAGTTGAATTAATGCACACAAACAAAATATGCGCATGATTTTTTTTGTCTCTTCCCCTTATAGTTTAGTCAGAATATTAATAGAAGAAGAATTTCAAGAATTTTAGTAAAGATCATGAAATTTTTGATTTTGTTTTTTCAATGTACCTGACTATTTAATCCGAGACAAAGTAACATGAAAAAGAATAGAACAGCCCACATTTGACCAAATGGCATTTTTGACATCGCCTGCGGATATACAACAAATATCAATCCGGGTCCTAAAACAACCAACGAAAAAAAAAATTGAAAACAATTTTATACAAAATTCAAATTGTTCTAATCAAATTTACCATCGCTGATGACATTTTGAACGTCGGTTCCTTGCTCGTATGCAATATTTCCGATGGTGGCAAATGCAAATATGCCCACCAAAAGACTCGTTATTCCATTAACAAATGATACGGCCAGCGTATCATGCAAGAAATTATTGTTGTATTTATTATAACTGGCAAACGAAATCATTGATCCGAATGCAATTCCAAGTGAATTAAAGTTTTGAGCGGCGGCATTGATCCATACATTTGCATTTGCTAGGTGTGACCAATTCGGACGAAAAAAGTAACGCAATCCAAACTGTGCACCATCCAGTGTAACAGCACGTCCAAGAAATATTATAATCAATATGAATGGTAGCGTTGCCGTAAAATATCGCACTTTAGCCGATGATTTAATTGATTTCCATATTGCAAAGTATACCAATATCCATGCACACATCAAACAAGCCACCAAATCCCAACGCATTGCACCCGGATACTCTAAACCACTGCTCATTTGAAGTACTTTATTTCTAAAAAATATTTTCGTTTCCTTTTTAATGAAAAAAAAAAAAACATCTAAAATAACGGAAAAAACTCACTCAAAAAATTCTTCAGATGGCGTTCGCGAGTTAATCGATCGTGTCATATTCGATTGTAAACGTGCTGGTATCCAACAATCCGGTGTTGCCCATCTATTCGAAGAGAAAATATTGTGCCCAAATAAAAATCAATCCAAGAAGAGTGAAGCGGAATTTTATTTAACCTTTGTTTACAGTCTAACCATGGCGATTCTGGTCTGAATGCAGAAAAAAAGTAGTAGATAGCATAGGCTATTATCACACTATAATATGTGGACATTATAAATGAAACCACAACACTAGCCATTCCAACTCCTGATTGATACCATCGAATATGCGAAGAAAAAATTCGATGAAATTTACAAGTCAAATGGTAAATTCAAAGTTATGACAAACCTTTGAACAGTGGACATAGTTGGCCTATCGCACCTATTGGACCGCGACCAGTATATTGACCAACAGCCAACTCCATGAATAACATCGGTACACCACATACAAACAGTATTATGAAGTATGGTACCAAAAATACACCTGACACAATATACCATTTGTTAAACAAAACTCTTAATAATGTTCATTTTAAATCATTTACCTCCTCCACTTTTGTAGCAAAGATAAGGAAACCTCCAAACGTTTCCCAAACCAATTGAATAACCAACACATGCCAAAACAAATTGCATTTTACTTGACCATTGTTGTCGTTTCGGTTTCAAGTGACCAATATCCGATTCATCGTCCGCTATATCATCATCTCGATCATCAAATTCAGGCACACTGCGGAAGAAGAGCAATAAACAAAAAAAAAACAGAAAGAATTAGAACGGAACTTGCTAGTTGACACATTGTATTTTTTCATTATTCGTCTCATTAATTTATTAATGAGTCAATAATATAGTAACGTATTTCTAAGACAGGATCATACATAAGTTTTCACCCAGAAATTAATGATCGACGTGTGCGCATTGCATAATAATCGTCGTTTTATCAACAAAACTTACAATTTGCCCACTTTGTAGAAAACTGGAACACCATTTTTATTGCGAAAAACGCTTCCTATCTCAACTGAATCTTTAGCCTTCATGCTTATGCATTTACACCCCAAAAATGTAAATTAAATAACTAAGCTAGAAACCGTCACTTTTTCTGTCACTCAAATACTTTACTTTCAATTTTAGCCTTTTTCTTCTCCAAATCTCTGTTTTATGCATTTACTCGATTAGAATCGATAAATCTTACTGATCTGAGCTGTCTGAAAGACATAAATTATTACAACCATAATGAAAATTATTTAACATATTCTAAATATAATTTCACGTTCCGAATTCATGTGTAATTCAAATGAGATCTTCAATTTGCACACAAGCAAATACAAATGTTGTCTAAATAGAAAAGCTAACATCTCTCAATTTTGGTTCAGACAACGGCGATGAAGTTGTTTATTTAAAATATTATTTAAAAAAAAATTTACCCGAATAATGATCGAATGCAAATACAAGACAACAATATGAATGTGTTCGAGTTTGAATTTAGTGTCAGTGGCTCGTATTTGTCGAAAACTTCGAAGACATAATAGTAAAAAGTTGTGAATATTCATACATGCTTGAAGCAACGATCGATGCGAATAAAAACAATTGATTTTTTCCTGCATGCGACGAAATGACCATGTTATATCGTTGTACATTGTGATGGTCAGCTCATTTGAGTTTTTTATATTTACTTTTGAATTTCTTAACGAATGATTGTAAATGTTTACTCTATTTTGGTGATGTATTCGTTTTCGTACTTGAGACGCCACATATTGTCACAATTCAACTGGTGACCAGTACTGAGTGTATTTTTTTTTTAAATCAGAATAGAAATCATTGATTAATTCGATCAAATAATTTTAATAGAGATCTCATTTCGGGCCGCAGTCAGATCAGTGTCATTTAATATTTGAACAATTATAAGCAATAAAATAAAAATCATAAAATTATTGTGTTGTGAAAACAAAAATCATTAATTTGCAATCAAATATTCTTTGTTAATAAATCATTACTTATTTAATTATCAAATAAATGCATAAATTTCATATTAAAAACGCATTAAATTTGATATCAAGTGCATGGGAAGCCCACCGCAAAGGTCAACTGCTACAATACTTAAATCACAGGAAGTTAACATTGTGCAGAATTTTGATCCGAATGATTCATTTTGTGTGGCTTGTTGTATTTCATTTTTTTTTTTTTTTCAATGAGAAGCTACACGGCAAACCAATAAAACTATCAAATTGCCGCATTCTTTATCAAATGCTCATTTGATGCACAACTACTATGATGTGATACACTCTACAAAGTTGACAGTTGTTTAGCTATATTAAATTAATTAGATCTTTCGTGTCGTATAAATGTTCATTATCCGTATGTTAACATTGTTGTATTATTTCAAGATCATGGTAATCCAATTCCATGTAGCTACTAGCTACTAGCTATGGCAGCAAATACGATAATAATAATAATGTGCAATGCTATAGTAGAACCGAAATCAATTGATAACACCTCATTTATTACGTTCAAAAAATGTCATTAGAACTGAAACAATAACAACTTAACTGGATATTCTTATAGTAAAAATTTCCCAATAATTTATAAGAATGATATGACATTATCAGTATGTATGCAATGATTTTTATTTTATTTTCAAATAAGCAATTAAAAATCATTCAAACCAATCAAGTTGTGTGTCGAACATATTCGCGTTCGTTTGACATCAGGAAGTAAATACATTTCGATTGTAATTTTTAACAATTGTTTCGTGAATTTGTCTTTAAATTACCATTAAAGAATTCCGAGTCATTGCAATTTAATTTTGTTTGAAATATACACCAAATATGATAGTAGCGTTAAAACTCTGTGAACCTTTGTTTCTCATCAATTCAGATATTAAAAGTACAATCCATTTGAGTTTCTTGTGATTATATCATCTAGCATCATGAATTCTTGATTTTATTTTTAACAAAAATGTTGATATTATTATATTTGGTTCATTTTTTATGTTGTTACCTTCAAAAATGCGCCAGAACCAGTCACAATGTAATTCGTGTTTAGTTATTATAAAAATGTGTATACAAAATTTATGATTTTATGGATGTTGGGCACAAATGCAAAACGTCATATTATACATGTGACACCAATTGATGGGCACATGAAACAGGGCACACGGCATGCCGTTTTTTTACCGCTGTGTGTATATTCGATTGAAGCTCACAATCTCAAATGCAAAACTTTACATAAATTATAAGCACATTCTCTCTTGCTCTCTCGCTCTTTCTTTCCTTTCCTTTGTTAGTTAAATGATTTGGATGTTGGCATGGGCTATGAAATCATTTTTTTCAATTGAGGAAATCATTATGAGAACAAATGACCATTTTACATACAAAATAAAGCCCATTGCATACACATGTGGTCATATAGATAGAGGCGCACACATACATGCTAAATTCGAATCAAATTAAGTCAGAGATTAATGGTTCACGATAACATATGATGAAAGGCTACACTGAATAAAGTCAATAAAATCAGCCTTATAATCTTAAATTATTTGCTCTTTTTACATTTTAAATGAGGATATGTCGCGAAAACCAAAAGGATTTTATGCAACAAAATTTGCCACTCTATAGTCATCCATTTAACTGTAGGAAGTGATCAAACTAATATATAGTCAATGGAAAATTCGCGTTTACACATTTACGAAGGTCACAACACAAACATAAATCCGAATAAAAATCATTGCTACAATTCCAAAACGTTGAATTCTTCGATCAAACAAATAGGTGAAAATCTGATTTAAAACACTATATACCATAAAAATATGTCCGTTAAACTAGAAGTTTTAGTTGTATGATGTGCCATTTTAAACGATTTCGTTTAAATGAAATGTAAATTAATGAGAGCGATCTCTGGCCCAATGTTTGTAATTAATTGTAAGTCATTTAATTTAATAACAAAGCAACTAGAAAAAAATGCATACTTGAATTTTTTGTTTTGAACTAGGATGGGTCAGTGTTTTTCTAACTAAAGATTTACTGAACCAAATTTGGCCATGACACACACACACACACACACACACAGAGAGAGAGAGAGAGAGAGAGAGAGAGAGAGATTTTTCCTACATTTATTCATTGCACAAAATGAATAAATTTCACAAAAATTCACATTGGCCATCTCTTTATCAATTGAATTGTAAACGGATCTTTCTTCTTATGTTTTTTTAAGGATTAAGTTTTGATGATTGCACATATTTCTACGGTAAACACAAATCACAATCTAAGAATTTTTGGATATTAAATTAACTTGTGTTCATGTATTAACATATGTAGGCACTTGAACTGTAGTCATAACAAACAACAAAAATACACACGTAATTCACGGTGTGGCAATGATGACAATGATGCGTTGCAATAGATAAAATACTATATAGACCGCTAATATTCAGCACGTGCGAAAAAATAACCTTTTGTATTTTGTATGTGTGTTTTTTTGTATGGCGTACGAAAACATTTCTATTTACAAATAGTTTTAGTGAGATGTTATAAAATCTATTTGATTTATTGCGATTTTTTGATACTTGATTTATTGAAATTTTATTCCAATTCAATGTAATAGTTAGATAATTTTTTGCTACGTTTTCCTGTAGTAAATTATTCTCATTTTTTTTAAAGCTATTATTCTATCTTTTGAATTTGTGATTCACTTTGTTTTTAAATTCTTGAACGATTTGAAATGTGATTTACCAATGAAACTACGACTACACTGAATTAAATAGAAATTTGGTTTGTTTGACAGAAAAATAAAAACTCTTATCAGAGGTACTTCAATTAAATGCCAACATATAATACTCTCCCTTTCGAATAATTGTTAATCACATCAAATGTTCAGAAAAAAATATAGCAAAATGAAATGAAAAACATTTATGCCCATTTAATGACATTTGCACCAGCGACATATTCCAAGTTTATAATCATGAAGAAGATTAGGCATAATTTTCTTTTTATAAAATATGTTCTTTGAGTCCGAAATTAACTCGAAGTTTGTAATTGATTGCTGTGTTATTGATATCGGGAAAATTTCATTATTGATTGCCTTGCGAAATCAAAAAATTTAAAAAAAAATTTTCGAAATATTAAATATTTCATATAGCATGCAAAAAATCCAATCAGCACGTTTGGCACTTTTAAAATGATCGAAATGAAATTCTAAATAAGAAATAAAATCATGCACAAAATAAGAATATTCACAATATTTTGTCAGCTGACAACTGTGCTGTTTTGTATGGTGTGACACAAGACCGTTGTAATGACAAGAAAAATCAAGCGACCAAATGTTTGCAATAATTCTTATCAATTTTGTATTTTTTTTTCGTTTTGTGCGTTATCTGTTGTACAGTTAAATTCTGTCTCGCTCTCTCGAGTTTTGAGTCATCTTTTCTCTCTATTTCTTTCATTCAGTTTTTTTTGTTATTCACATTTGTATAGTACAAACAAATGCCGCGTCTGAGTTGTTTATTGCATTGCAATAAATATACAATAAATGAATGAATAAGGTCACATGAGTGTAAACGACGGCTCTTTTAAATAGCTATAATAATAGGATATGGTAATATGATACTTACGCAGGTGGACTCACAATACTCAGTAATTCAGCGGGTGTGTTTGGAACACGACGAATAATCATTTTTCGACCATCTGTCGAACCCATACCGATCGATGCTAATGATCGAATTGATGTTGCATCCGAATATAATTTACCATTGCAATCAGATCCGCCAAAAACGAATGAATTGGTACGTGGTAATGAGAGCAATGTATGTAAAGGTTGTGGCGATGTATATGAAGTTGTTAAATGGGCTGCCGTTGTCGGTGTCAAGAAGCCATCTTTGGTCTCCACTTGATTACCTGTTGATACAATTGGGATTTACTTTTCATTTTCGTTTCCACAGTGAACAATAATAAAATTTAAACGCGCCCGATAACAAAAATCTAACCCTATATCATTTTATCATTTACCAGTGAATAAATTCAACGCAACATCAATGTGATAAAACCATAAAAAATATTATAAATTTCCCGAGATTAACTCAGTCTACTCTCTAACCTTCTAGAAGAAATTCATTTACCGATAAAGTTTTACTACTCATATTACATTCTTCAGTCGTTCTTTTTCTCTATTCAATTACACAAGGTTTCACGTGCGACGACGGCCAAATAATATATTGAAATATTTCTCTTTACCATCGTAATTAAGACACGAATCAATACAAACACTTCAAATGGAAATGTGCTCGTTTGTTTGTCGTCCGTCCACCTTGTTTATTATTTTATTATTACTATTATTTGTATTATTATTATATTTTATGTGTGATGAAAATTGTTGAGAGCACATTTTTATAGTCTATGGAACATTAATGATATTTATCATAGTGACTTATAATATATAAAAAAAGTTAAATTATGATACGGATGAGTGCGGAACGAATGTTTTAATTCTATAGCAGATCGTTGTAAATCATAACAAATAAGAACAATGTAAAAATTAACACTCTGTATATACGATTATGTGCGATTTTGTTGTTGTTTTACTTTTCCGCACACACCTAGTGTGTAAGGGGAAAGTATTGCATTGGGTCAAAATTTACGACATCTCAAAAACATGTTTTCTGGACGTTTCTTTGGTCAGAGAACCCGAATCAGGCCGAGCATGGTTGTTGTGGGTCTGTTCCACGTCGTACGTTGTACGTTGTCCTGTGTACGCAAAATTTGTCCATCGATTATATCAACCCCCAAAAAAGTTGTTTTAAATCTGACTTCACGGAATGTTTGGAGGTCCCGAGGAATAGAAATCATTAGAATTTGAGCGACTTTGATTGATGGGAAAAATTTCATGCCTGTAGTGATACCTATGAAAAAGAGTCAAATTTTCGTCCAAAAGTCATACTTAATGTAGACTTAAACACTCAAAAATAGGTATTGGGGAGTTTTTTGGCACGAGAAAACCGAATACGACGTTAGTTTTGAGATACAATCAATTTTTGATACAGTTTCCTTGAAAAAGTCACAAAAAAATTGGATTTTTGTATGGGAGCCATGCCTGTATGCTACCTTAATGAAGTGAAATTTTGCACAAACTATATTTTACACAAAAAAATAACATTCTGAAAGTTTGAAGAGATTTTAATCAAAATTAGGTACCTCCCACACAAAAACGGACATTTTCTCGAAAAAGACTGCATATGTTCTTTTGGAAAGTTAATCAATTTAAACCCCAAGTCAAAGATGAAAAAATGTGTATACTACACACCACTGAAAAACCTCTGTTCCTCATTATGAACCATAATTTATATCATTTTGATCCAAAAATAGCCTAAAAATCCATATTTCCATTGTATTTGAAAAAGATTCAAATTCATATGTCTTGAATCTTTAACTTGGAAAATAGCGCTTACAAAACTATCATCAAAACATTTGTAAATTCGAAACGTTGCTTCATTGCGTCAGTATGAACTCAAAGTAAAAAGGGAGGAATTTGTGCAACCTTTTTAATATACAAATGTAAATTAAGTTTATATTCACAGTACACAGAAAATATATCTACCAACTATTTTCGTCACAAAATTGATATCAGAAATATTGTGTTTCAAATTTTGGTTTCGTCACCCGTTCTTCACCTTGATAGAGGTTTTTTATTTGATAGATAACACCAAAGCCAATGTTTTAACCAATTGTACTTAGATGTAAATTTCATTGTATGTTTTTAAATATTAAAATCTGTTTGAAACATTTCAAACATTTGATTAAATTTTGATTAGTTCTATGTTGAATTAATTATAAATCATTACTCTTTTACCTGTCACCGTGGTTGAAATTCTGGATGACGATGCTGATGGCATGATTTTTACTTTTTTCGCAGAACTTAAAGATGTTGTTGATTGTGATTGAACAAATGATTTTCCCAACAATGGACTGAGCAATGTTTTTTTCCTATCATAATCCTCTTCGTCTTGATTGTTAAACGTAGTTTTTTGTATTTTACACGTATTTTGTTCGCTGGTACTCAACATAAGTGGTGGTAGATGCCAGCGATTGCTTGATTTTAATTTCGATACATTATTATTTTGTACATTATGTGCAGTGATATCTTCAAATGAATTCGTTTCATTGCGGCGACGATCGTTGGCACTTTCATTTACAGCTAATTGATAATAAGAGTTTGCGGATGTTATGGACGTTGTATCCGAATTTGTAACGATTATCTTAATCGGATCCATTAATATACTTTACTCACGCCGTACACTTATTTTAGCACTCACTGTTATCGATTATATTTACCGATATATATATATATATATATACAAATAGTTCTCAATCAATTGACTTTGTCAGCTTGAATGTTTTTTCATTGTTTATATTTTTTTTTATTAATTCGTTCAATCAATTCGTTGTATTTTCATTTGTTGCACGTACACGATCGTAATACATTCAACATCATTTATATTTGCGATCACATCCTGCACTTGTGAATGAAAATAAAAGTAGAAAACAACAGAATTTTCAGTAGACATAAAATATAGTGAAAGATCTTTAGATAGCAACTCAAGTATAAAGATACAATGTCACAGTGTGTGAAACATAGCAACATACAAACATATCAAATCGCCTGGAATGTGTTAACAACAGAAATCTATATATTAGTCTTTGTAAATTATCGTTATTTGCATTGAATTATTGCACTTGGTTTATTATATACTATCCGTTTTTGAGGTGACACAATATCGTATGCCTTTTTTTAATAAACCACTTTTCTTTAGCTATTTAAGATATTGTATCATTTTTGAAATGTTCCAGCTATTGTAACAGCATGTGATATTTACTAAAATTTTATGTGCAAATGACCTAAGTGAATGTTCATTTTACATTACACAGAGGAATCAATTATATTGGGGGTACAACTGGAAATCTGCCGTTTCTTGCCAACTGATGTAACTTGTGGATTACAAATTGGAATTACGATTCCAATGTATTTATGTCAAAGTACTCTCAAAATGGTATCAGAACCGGCATATATCATGTATATATATCATATACCGAGTTCATTTCGAAAAAACATCATTTGCGGGAATTTAATTTTTTTCTCTTTAATACAATCAGAAATGCATCTGAACATTATGGTGAATTGAGTTTAACAAGATCTGTCGATTCCAACACAAAAATATTGAGTTTGGTGAAGACTGAGTGGTGAATTTGGTGTAAAGCTCCATAAACTATTTCAAGTTGAATTATTTCACTCATTTTTGCTAAAAAGTCTATGTTGAACGCATGTAAAAGTTGTGGATTGACTAATTATGAACAATACGATTGATACCAAATATTAACATTTCCTGAAAGTGGTGAAAATTGTAGCGAATTCGAACTGAAGGAAAATTTGGTTGAATGGCAGTATGAGACTAATCAAATGTCGCTCCAAATTTACAAATGGATTCATTTTCGTATTGAGTTGAGATTGATTGTGAAGGAGGGATCTATTTCAAGAATTTCAAGCATAAAAAACCATAGTGAGTTGAGCTGAATCACAAAAAGTGACGAGAAATCCAAAAATTCGTGATTCTGCCAAATGGGTGACGTAATCAAACTTGATCGAATCACAACTCATCAAAATTGTTACAGATGATCTTTATTGATGTCGACTGATCGTTTTTGGTTGAAAAGTAACAGAAACATTACAAAAAACTTGTAGAAAAATTCAATTATCTAAATTTTCAAAAAAGTGAATTTTTCCACTTTTGCAAAATCATTAAAAATCAGGCAATATATTGAATTAATTGGTCAGTTGAGCTAAATGGGCTAAAACAATAGACGTTATTGTTTTAATGATGAATCACTTCTCTTGTTTTAATAGAAGTGATTGTTCATTATAACAATAACTTCTATTGTTTGAGTCCATTTAGCTGGCTAACGTACTGTCAGCTCAACTGACCAGTTAGTTCATATATTGTCTGTTAAAAATTGTTTGAAAAATAGATCGATAAAAAATCTTTATACCCCCACTGTACTCACTGGACATCCCTCTTTCTGAATACCACTCATTTCAACGGATGCAGTGCACCGTTTCTGATCAATTATGTGAAAAAAACTAACAGACATGGAATCCGACATGGAATTTGGACATGGAATCCGAAAATTGCCTGAGAAATGGGGAAAAGTGGTGGCTAGCGATGGACAATACTTTGAATGATGTATTCATTCACTTGATCATTAAAATAGATACACATTTTGAAGAGAAAAACGGCAATTTCAAGTTGTACCCCCCCAATATATTCTTTCGTATCAATGTAGATATGTTCAGTTGCATTCATTTATCGGCGAATTTTTAACGAAAATCAGATGAAATATATATTCTACTGGAAAGATGCTCACTTCTCGATTTTAAATTATAATTTTGCGTTTAAGGAATCATTATAAATTACGCGAATAATAACACATTGCAATCATAAAAGATAAATTTTAATATGGCTAACGAGTGGTTTTAATCTTACATCATAAATTGCATTCATATTAAGTCAAAATGAAGAGCATGTATCCTGTTTCATTACCGCTAATTTATCCATTACTTAATATACTGCAAATAATAAAATTGTGCTTTTGAATACAAACTTTGTTTACCAACTGATACGATTGGTTTTAAATTCGATATTTTTTGAAGAAAAAAAAAACGTTTTTTTTGTGGCAGTAAATCGATGGATTTGTGAATGTCAATTTGTTAAATGGTCATTTGCTAACGAGCCGTTAATTGAGTAGTTTATCGGTTCGTTTTATATGAATTTTACTTCGTTTAACTATTTTCAATATAAAAAGTTTGTCAACACAGATCGAGAAATATGTACTTATTTTGGTGTATTGCATGTGACACACAAAATTAACATGTTATCATTTGCCGAAAAAAAAGTTTTTGAGGTATATTCTTCATTGACAAAAACGACACCAAACGCAAAGAAAACAAAAACACAAACTATATAGCCAACCAAATATGATACTGATCAACACGACTGGCATATCTTAACTGATGCGATCACTTTTTGTATGCAATACAGCAAGTAAATATTTCAAAAGTCAAATTTTTTTATACTGACTGCTGTGAATATCAAACCGAATTGAGCTTACATATTCACCTTATTTCAGTGAGCGTACTGTAATATGTCAATGTGTGTACGTTGTACGTTGTATTATTTCGTTCATATATGTATTTAGGAGAATGAAATATGAGTAGCAAATGCAAACACTTTTGCGCTGATTATTGTTCATTTCAGTTGTATTTTCAACATGTTTTTTTTATTGAAATTTCGTATGATGAGTTGTTCAGCCACAACGTTGTTTGGCAATGTAAACATTCATATAACCGTTATAGTTTCATTGTTGTTATTCTAATCGTCTTTTTTTAATGATTTTTATATACTGACAGATAAATCACCATGAACTTAAATATTAATTGTTCGCAAGCATATATATTTAAGAATATTTTGGTATCATGCCGTCATGTCATCAAATCCCTCGACAACGTGACATTTTTGGACGTTGTGTTTGGTTAATTGATCATGTCAATTTATGTTAAAGTTGTGATGTTTTAGAGATTTGTTTTTAAAAATTATAATTTTTGAGCGAATAAGATGAAATAAATACAAAGAATCGAAACTTTTTATTGAAAATTGTTAATTTTTTAGTACATCATTGATATACGACAATCAAGCATATCATGGTTTTTAAAATGCGCGCTCAATTCTAAATCTTCGAAATAAGTAGTTTCGTAGTTTCGTTTTTTGACGTTTCGTTGACATAAAATGTTTATTTGTCTCGTTGGTTGTTTTATCACGGTTTTTTCATTTGCTTTCGTGTGATATTATACATGCAAAAGTTTTTGAGTAAAAATCTTTCATTTGTCCTGAAAATTATGTTATAAATAATTGTGGTATTTAATCTGTAACATTGATTTGGTACGAAACCAGATTCATTTCGGTTTAGTGCAATTAGAATGGGAACCGACTCACTCCCATTGTATACAAAATCGACCAAGACAACGACATCGGATGCGATTATTCACGACGATAATCGGTCAAAATTAAAATTTCCGAGTAGCTCGTCGGCTAAAGGAATGACCATTTTATGTTTCGATTTAAGCAATTGCAATTCTCAAACTCAATTCATTTTTTGTTGTATTGGTGTATTTGTGCTATATATTTTGTATGGATATTTTCAAGAATTGATTTTCTCACTTGACGGATTTAAACCATATGGATGGTTTTTAACATTAATTCAATTCGGATACTATACAATTTTTGGTTATTTTGAACGTCGAATTCAAAATCCGGAACAATGTGGCATTCGAAAAATTCCAATGAAAACATATGCATTGCTAGCATTTCTGACACTTGGTAATTATATACATACAATAAATTTGTCCGAGAATAAACATTTTTTGCACTTTTTAATAGGTACGATGGGGTTGTCAAATAGTAGTTTGGGATATTTAAATTACCCAACTCAGGTGATATTCAAGTGTTGTAAATTGGTGCCCGTTCTCATTGGAAGCATTTTAATTCAAAAGAAAAGCCACGGCCCATTGGATTTTCTGGCAGCAATTGCAATGTGTGTTGGTCTAGCTGTATTTACATTAGGTACGATCATTGGATTCAATCTGAAATGGAAAATGTTATAATAATTATTATTGTTAGTGGATTCAACAATATCGCCAAATTTTGATATGGTCGGTGTGATGATGATATCAACGGCTTTGCTATTCGACGCAATCATTGGAAATGTGCAGGAGAAGGCGATGCGAGAATACAAGGCAAATAATGTTGAAGTTGTGCTATATTCGTATGGAATTGGATTCGTTTATTTGTTGATTATTTTACTATTGAGCGGCAATTTATTTCCAAGCTTACGTTTTTGTGCCACTGTAAGCCTATTCGTTTTCATTTATTTGTCATATTTCTTTTCCGAATAATTGTTTACTTATTTACTTACAGTATCCAATACAAACCTATGGTTATGCATTTCTGTTCTCTTTATCGGGATATTTGGGAATTCAATTTGTATTGACATTAGTGCGAACGTGTGGTGCAACTTTAGCTGCTACGGTTACCACAGCTCGAAAAGCCGTTACGATCGCTTTATCGTTTTTATTCTTTAGCAAGCCGTTCAGCATAGAGTATGTGTTAAACATTTCGATCGACTGCTGAACTTATTCTTGGTTTTGATTCTTTTCTTTGATGTTTGTTTTATCATTTCAGATATATTTGGGCTGGACTGCTGGTAGTATTAGGCATTTATTTAAATATATTTAGTAAGCGCAACAAATGGAATACACAGGAGTTAATCGCTAAAATTACTGACTATGTACATTTACCAAAGAAACTACGACATCTATACGAAGGTCATCAAAAAGATGCGATGTTTGAAGTTTAAAAGCGAAAAACAATGGATTTTATTCTTAGAAGAATTGTATATATACAAGCTAATGCATTATTATAGAAAGTAAAATTTGTGAATGGATCCACTTGTTTCTTTCACTTCCAATAATATTTCATTTGACAACATAATGTGAACACAACCCAATACAACAAGTTTTAAATTGAAAATCAAAATCTTACGCTCAAATAAAAATAAACAATTTACGCGGAAAGATATTTGCGTAATTTAATTTAAAACTCTGCAGAAGAACTCTTTTATACGTCATTTATTGCATTTAATTTTCTTTATTTGTGGAATTATTATTTTGAATTTTCGAAATGCAACTGACATCTTTCTGACATTTTTCGATTGGCACGGTGTATCAAACCAAATGCAACGATATTCATTTATGTGTATTAAAATGTGCCCACATTGTGTGATAGTATTGTTAGCACCAACCGATTTTGTTTACAATAAAACTTTGTTTTGTTTTCAACAGGATTTCTCAAGAATTATATGAGAGGGTTTGGGCGATCAATTGGTTTTATTGTTATTTCAAAACCGATTTTGTGTGTTCGGAATGCTGTTCCCTGTGGAATGGATATATTCACAGTTGGTTTTGTGTTCATTTTTGTTTTAATTTCGAAATAACAGAGTGTTGATAAAATTTACTGTGAATATTCCAACAACATTTCGATCGGTAAAATATTTTATGTCACATTGGAAATAAATTTCATCATTCGATTTAGAATACAGAGTCACTTTGTTGAGGTAAGGAGTGATATTTATAATGCGTTCTTCATTACTGTTTCATTTGATTTACTGATCAGGTCACATACTGGTGCCTTTCGGCCGCAATGATCACGACTCTGGCGTCATTACTGTTTTTGTTCAACGCAAACAAAGCCTTTGACGATGAAAATGCTCGATTGTTTGAATGATGATCAATTCAATAAATACGTGAATGGTGTAATTAGTAAATGTTTCTACTCGGTATTACAAGAAAATTACCACAAATTACCGCTTGCATTTCGACGAACTGTTGAGCAAGCATGTCCTGATTTTCTTCGTCCAGAAAATTGGCCAGCTCGCGAGGGCATGGGGAACGCATTCAATCATTTCATCACTCAGTTCATAACAAACGTGAAAAATAACATCAAAATATGGGCATTCAGTCGCATCAAGAAATTTTTCACGCTAAAGAGCTACGAACTTAATTTGGATCGACAAGGAAATCTCATCACTGAATTGGATGTAAAACATGCGACGAAGATTGTAATGTTCCAGAGTAAAATCGAGAGAAACGCGAACATCGATCTTTTATTAAACGAAGAAGCAGGCATTGGATTGCCAATCAATGTTCACTTCCAGAATCTCTTTCGTGATCGCTGGTTCCAAACCATCCGAATATTTGCCACAACAATGTTTGTTGGATAATTATCATGGAAAGTAAAATATACATACACACACACACACACACACACACACATGTGCAAATAAATGCAAACGAAATATTTTTCAGTCGAAAGACAAATAAAAGTCGCTTTTTTCGCCTTTATTGGAAAATATTCGATTTGAACATGAATCTAATGTTATTGCGTGAATAAATGAGCAAACTTTTCCGTGAAAAAAAAAAATGTAGAATAAAAAATATACGCAAATTTGTTCAGACAAGTTTGAAACAATGCACATGTTTACATTCAAATTTGTTCGGCTTGCGTCTGTCATACACAATGTCTAAGTCATCAAATAGTTACGATGTGTACACATCTGACATTTATAATACGTTGCACATCAATCGAACATCTTCATTATCAGTTATTCGGTTTCATTGAATCGTACGTTGAATCGATTAATGTGAAATTAAATGTAATGGCGTTTTCTTCGGGTATTTTTATTCATTCAATAGTTTTAATTTTATTGTGTCACCGTTGGGCTGACGGTTTAAAATCAAACGATCGAAAACTAATTGTCGTTTCGTTTGATGCATTCAAACCGATATATTTGGAGGAAAAGATTACAACATTCTTCAAAACTTTCTACAAAGATGGCATTCGAGCAATTCACATGAAAAACTCATTTCCAACAAAAACATTCGTCAATCATTTTAGCATCGCAACTGGTCAGCACCACACATTATTTTTTATCAATACTTCAAACATTTCTCTTTTTTTCCTAAGAAATCAAACACATTTTCTGACATTCAAAACACATAAGAATTCGTTCAAATATTTTTCCAATAGGTTTGTATCCACAGAATCATGGTGTGACCGGCAACGAAGTATACGACCTTGAAAAAAATCAATTCTATAAATATTCATATGAACTATTTCACTATAATGAGAGTGTGATACCGATTTGGCGATTGAATGAAGACCAAGGTGGCCGTACCGGAGGTGCGATGATTTATAATTTAATAATTGAATGGAATTACTAATTGACTGAATAAATTGCAGTGATGATGTGGCCCGGAGGAGATTTTGCCTATCAAGGAAAGAAGTGTAATTTTACTAAATCACTTGATAAAAACATGAAAGAAGAAGATCGTATTGATGTAATAATGAAATGGTTTAAAGAAGGCGCGAATTTTGTTATGTTCTACATTGAACAGCCCGATGAAGAAGGGCACGCATATAGTCCTGATTCAACGCAGGTATTTGTTTTGAGCTTACATTTTTTTGATCAATTTTAAATTATACAAGAGAAAAATACGTTATTTTAATAACTTTCTGTCATGATTTTGTATGGTCATAGGAATTGAATATGGTAAAGAAATTAGATGCAATTGTCGTGTATTTGGAGCAATCACTCATAATAAATGGGCTTGATGACAACACTGATATAATTATTCTCTCTGACCATGGCATGTTGACAGTTACAACAAATAATTTCATTGATTTATATGCATTTATCGATAAAAATCAATGTAAAATGTATGGTTCATCGCCAGTTCTTCAAGTTGTTTGCGCCGATGGAAAATATGAGGAAGCATGCAATAATTTAACTATAGCATCCAGAAGTGAACATATGGCTGGAAAATTTAATGCATTCATCAATGAACAATTACTGGAACGATGGCACGTTAAAAACACCAAAAGGTTTGGACCATGTACAGTGGTTGCTGAGCCTGAATATGCTTTTCAAGACATGTTTGAATTTGCTGAATGGTTTCATTTGGAAAAAGGAGTACCAAGTAATTTTTAATTTAAACATATACACAGAAAAATTACACAATTAACGAATTATTTTTATCTAAATGTCATAGTATCATTGAATGCACCTTACGGCGTCCATGGCTACGATAACGACGTGCCAAGTATGCAACCAATTTTTTTGGCAAAAGGACCCAGCTTCAATGCTGGAATAACAATCAACGACGAATTTTCAAACATTGATTTGTATTATCTCTTTTGTAAACTATTGCAAATCAAATGTATTTCAATTGACGGTAAATTAATTGCCTGGAAACGCTATATGCTTAAACGTATTTCTTTCAACATTGCATTTTTACTGATCATTTTAGGTAAAGATCGTCAGGACGTCTGGCAGAAAATGCTGAAAGATGTTTCGATAAATGAAATCCAGAAATAATTTTAACAAACGGCCGTGTTCCTCTATAAATGAACAGATATTTACAAAAATTTGAGAAAAAAAATTAATTTTTCAAATACTATTACTTCTTAATTTATCACAGATAAAAATAAATATATTTAATCAAATAATAAATGAATTTTGTGTTGGGTTAAAAGAATAAAAATGGTTTATTTTCAATTATGTACAAATAATTTCTTTTTCTTTTTTTCAACGGTAGGGTGTTTCTCATATCTGTAAATAAAAAAATGGTATGTTTCAATTCAAACATTTCTACATCATTATCCACGTTGGCGGCAGTAGCAGCGGCTACTTCTGTGGCCTCAGCGACAGCTTCGCGGGCTTTGTACAAATATCTATTGATTGCCCCCGGTATCGGAAATCCCAGCAATGTCCATAGTCCTGAACAATCAAACAAATGAATCTTCTCAAACAATAATTAAATCGCAATTGTGCGTCAATTAGCCTTACCTTTCAGCAGAATGTTCTTAGCAGCCACGACGTCACAATGCCAAGTCACAGAGCATTCGAGGTTTAATTGCCAGTTTTTATAGTTACTTTTTACTTTTTACAATAAAGGCTCGTCTTCTTCCGATGCTTCGTTCATTGCGCGTTGCAACTGTCGGAATACCGATAAATCCGTCTTGCCCAACTTTGACACAATTTTTGTTGGCTGTTTGAGATGTTCCCCATTCGTCCACCAGATCTATGACATAATTTCGGCGCTTCTTTATTGACACACTTTCAGTTTCAAGAACTGGGTGATGTGTTTGTTAGGATGCGTTGTTGAATTGGTGACGACGTTGTCTGTGTATTGATTGGTCAAATGCTTGAGGCCATTGCTGAAATCTTTGTTATTGGGCCAATCGATGCGAACTTAGTCGTCAAGACCTTCAACAATTGCTTTGAATTCAGAATCGATACGTGGCAGCTCTGCTCGTGGTCCTCGCGGCTTTGTTCCTTGTGGTTTGTACCTCGACTTCGGTTTCGGTGGCTGATTGTTATGCCATAGCACTTGGTTAAAGCAGAGTTTGATCTTTTTTTCTCCAATTTCACCAAATAATGCGAAATTATTATTCTCAATGCCTATGTTCGTACGCCTTTTGCACCTCAAAAAAGAACAGTAATGAGCCCAAAACGCAAATTGAAGTGGCTTGCAAGCTCAGGTCCGTTATTTTGCTCATCAATGCTTGCTGGAATTGTGGACGAATGATTGCCTTCAGCGCACATTTGATCGTCGTAATCTCATCCTTCGTTTCTCCCTTCGCTGGTATGGATGGCTTGAAACGATTCGCCATTTACCTATTGGGAAAAAAACACACATTCGATTTAGTTTAAAAAGGAATACTATTATATTGGCGATATTTAGACATTTTCATTGATCCATATCAATATTTTATACTAAATGATTTTTCATATTAATACTAGGGGGGAGACACAAACGATTAAACAATGATTCCAATATATAAACACTAATCCTACTATTCCACCAATCCGATAATCAGTGATGGTTTTTTGCTGTCTGAATAGCGCTAGATATACGCAGCATATGTACAGCATTGCTGCCATCTGGACATGCGGAACACACTTTTTTGTACCACACACAGCGGCGTGCGGTGAACGCATCGAATCAGCATCTGGGCAGCAATGCTGGACAGACGCTGCGAATATCTAGCGCTATTCAGACAGCAAAAAACCATCACTGTTTTTAATTCAAATGATTTTTTTCATCAATAAAATTTTGAGAAAGTGTATCTATTGTTTTGTAAATTTATATTCAACTTTTAAACTAAAAAATATTTCAAAAAAGAACAAATTACTATCTCAAAAAAAGTTCAATGCTTTGATCAAATTCTGTACTATCGATTACAAAAATATTGAATCTAACCCATTTTCGCTATTCCATACATGGCATTAGTGAATCCATGTGAATCCAGTTACTTAATTATCTATTCCACTTTAATTTCTCAAATTTTTACACTAAAAGTCTAATCCTATTCCACGTGTCTACCCCCTAGTATTAATGATACCTGGCTGAGACACAAAAATATCGAGATTTTTTGATAGACATTTACGAATGAATAAATCTCCTGCACAAATATGCACACACGCACACACATGTTTTAAATTCAATTTGTCCGAGCGACAACAGAACAAGAATCTATCTCCTTTTTTGGTACATACACAAAATTATACAACACACAAAAATGACAAAAATCTTCGAATTGATAACAATGGCAGTGATTTAGAGAAGAAAACAAGGTAACGGATACTTGAGCATTGAGATTCAATTTGAGTGAGCTCAAACAATAAGCTATTAACTGTTTCTCTTCTCTGAACAATGGAACCAACTCAAAATAGGTATCACCGCTTGGAATGAATTTCACCACCTCATGCAACAGAATTATGTACTGCAGAATAATTGTTAAATTCATTACTTTTTTCATAAAATGTAATGTTACTCTTAATATGATATGTTCAACGTTAAATATTTATTAGACTACTTAAATATATTTCACGTTATAAATGGCTTATATTACGTGCTATGAAATAAAAATGAACTTCACAATAAGAACAAGAGGAATAACTGCTTGGAATAATTCAAAAAAATACTATTTTTTATTGATGAATCAATCAATATTTTTCACGGTAATAAAATGATTAAGTTTACTCACACTGATGACTTGAATTCAACAATCTGTCTAAACTCCGGATCAATCGATTGATCAAGTGTTGAAAAATTCGAATCAAATCGATAAAAAACGCACGTATATCGAAAAAAATATGAATTATCAGCAAAATCGTAGAATAATTGAAACATTGAATTGAAACATACACAGCTGTAGTTTATATCGTAATCAGATGTAAGATTGATTTGTTGACTTGGTATTTACAACGCCAAACGTGTTCTCGGTATGAATGCTGTGGCGTTTATGACATTTCGAAAACCAATGAAATGAATTTTAAATGTCATAAGGGTCGGTTCACATTGATAATACTAATTCAATATTTAGACATTAGACAATTTTTGCTTTAAAGAGTTTTTTTCTTCGGGAAGTGTCAATATCAATCGATGCTTTACTTTAATGCTACGATTTCAAACAGAATTTTAAATTGAACCATACCATTTTTTCAATTACAGATATGGAAAACACTCGAGCAATATACAGACTCTTCAGTTTTCGTAATGTCATTCAATTGACAATTTGACACATACAGATAAATAAGCGCGTAAACTACGACCCTTCTGTCTTGTAACATTGTTCTGTTATTTGTATTTTAAGCAGTTATTAAACAATCGTTTGTAATTTTAAATTCACTATTACTTCAAAATTTTCCGATACAAGGTCAAAACTTGATTTCGACATAATTTTAAACGATTCGTATATCAGTATAATTGATTGGAATCATCGAGTCACCAGTGTCAACCTAACCTCAAATTCGAAGTGTAACACATAAAACATTCGGTGAAATATGAATCCATCAGGCGGTGGTTTCGGGGCATTTTCGTTTGGCACACCTACATTCGGTGCTGGCAACATATCTAGTACTGGTATGTGGGCCTGATCTTGTAGACTCAAATTTCCATTGCAAAACAGTTTTGTCAACTTAATTTTAATTTCGTTATTTTAGCTCCGGCAACAACAAATACAATGTCATTTGGTACTCCAGCTGCATCCATTCCGGTAGCATCAGCAACAGCAACAGCTTCAGTGGCTTTATCAACTGCACCGTCAGCTTTTGGATCATTTGGAACATTCGGTAGTTGCATTTTAATGTATTCAAATGCACCTCTTTACTCAAATAGATATTATCATCATTTGCAGGTGCTGCCTCTACCGCAAGCAATACTTTGCCCTTTGGAACAATGCCAGCAACGACAAGTTCAAACCTTTCGTTTGGTACACCGGCTACAACTACATCGGCACCAGCTTTTGGTACAACAAATACATTACCATTTGGTGCTCAAGCGGCCAAGCCAGCGGCACTACCCACATTCGGTGCATCTATTCAGCAACAAACAAATGCACCAACTGCTACACTTTCAACTGGTATGCTGCTAATCTATAATTTTAATTCATAATCTCATTGTATTAATATTTCCATATTGGTTTTAAATTATTATCAGCGGCAGCAGCGGCGGCGGCGAGCACAGTAAATACAAATCTAGCCGGTCCAGCTATTGGATATGGTTCGAGTACAACGTAAGTGTTTTTTTTTTAATTTCAACATTTTTTCAGCGAAAGAAATGTTTAAACGCAATAATATTATTTCAATTTTAGAACAACCCAATCGACAGCTGTGGTTGGAAATCAAATGACATTCTCACAAATCGAAGAAATGATCAACAAATATACATCTGAATTGGAAGAACAAGAGAAAGTCTTCATAAATCAAGCAACACAAGTAAATTCATGGGATAATCTTTTGAATAAAAACAGTAAAAAGGTGAGATTTTTGAATAAAGTTTAACTTAAAATAAAAATCTTAATTTGGTAACTACATATCATAACAGATTGTTGAGCTCAGCAACGCCGTGGAAAAGGTGAAAAGTGAACAAAAATGCTTAGAAGATGAATTGAAGTTCATTGAAACGCAACATACCGAGTTGGAGGAATTTATTGCACCATTGAAAAAAGATGTCGATAAAATACCGCATAGCGATTTGGAAAAAGCACAAACATATTCACTAGCTGAAAATTTGGATACGCAATTGCGTCAAATGTCCGAAGATTTGAAAGAGGTTATTGAACATTTGAATGAAGTAAGTAAATTACAAAATTCAAATGATCCAATCGTTCAAATTGGACGCATTCTGAATGCTCACATGACATCGCTACAATGGATTGAATTGTCAACATCGAATATCAATGTTAAATTGGAAGAAATCAACAAAATGTACGACACACTTCGACGCGACACCGAACGAAGTTTACGACTGACTTATTGCGACTGAAACCATTACATTCAAATTAACATTTACTTTGGCAAAATTACAATAAAAATATCGAATTTGTTTGGACAAAATTTAAAATAGCCCTCTCACAAAATGTGGAAAATGAAATAAAAATAACGAAAAAAAATTAAAATAGCATTAAAATAGAACATACTTTTATTTTATTTTTTAATTTGGATTCCATTGAGCATTTTTTTTAAATCGAATAAGTAATCAAGGATAAAAAAAATGCAATCAAACTATTGGTTCAAAGAAACACAGTTGAGACGTTAAAAATGTATTTATTTTATTTAAGTTAATATTTTTTTTTTAAATAGAATTTGAAAAAGTCAAATCAAACAAACACGAGACACAAAAGGAAGTAAACAAAAGCACTTTGTCAAATTTGAAGGAAGCCTTTTATAGCTTACTGTAAGCTGCTTGCAACAGCAACTTTCGACGACTTGCCAAAGCTCTTATTTTAAATGCTTTTGCCGTCTTCTCTCTATTCGCGGCTTATATTAAGAATAAAAATGTCTACGATTTTCCTCTACTATCACGGATTGTTCAAACGTTATAATTAGAATTTTTAATTTTTTTTGCAAGAATACATTAAAATGGAATGGCTTAAAAGTTAACTCTACGTTTTAACATATATGTATCATAAGTTTTGGACTAAATTCAAACGAACCCAATTTAAACACCAACAAACAAATTGAAAATTTCTCTTTGTGGTAGAAATCGAAAAGCATATTTACAGTACACTTAACGGACCGTTGTCTTCTATTTTTCGTAGTATACTTCGAACGTTCAAAACCATGTCCCGGCAGACCGATACATCCATTTCCTTCAACTTTCGCTCGATTCGACCCATCAACTGTTGCTCGTTTCGAGCCTCCCAGCCCTTCTCGTACACCTTATGTTTGAAAGCTGACCAGAAATCTTCGATTGGACGTGCCTGTGGAATGTCTGGTGGGTTGTCCTCTTCCGGTACAAATGGTATATTTTGTTCAGTGAGCCAATTCAATGTTTCTTTCGCATAATGACTGCTTGCAAGGTTCGGCCAAAACATGATTTCGTCTCGGGCGTGATGATTTTCAATGAATTGCTTTAGTTTTGGTAAGCATTGATCAATATAAATGTCAGAATTTATCGCTTCGGCTTCTTGTGGTCGAATAATCGGCGCTGAAATACCTTTCGATGATATGGCCACCCAAACCAGTACCTTTGGCTCAAATTTTGCTTTGCCGGCATATTTAACATTGTCTGGGGTTGCTTCAATATTGTCTGTGTAAAAGCCATCATTTTCACTCAATTCATGGTGCGCAAAAGTAAAGTATGATTCATCATCCAAAATGATGAATTTTCCATTTGAAAAATGTGTGTCACGAAGTGCACGGCAACATTTTGGTATTATTTCGAGTTGATTCGGTGTATATTTTGATGCTCCCTTTTGTTTACGATAAACAATGTTGTTTTTCTTCAAAATACGATGCACTGTGGAGCTTGAAACTTCAAATTTTCGTGATAATCGTCGTGTTGACTGACCATCCTTGTTTTTAGCACTTGACAGCAGACTTTTCGTTGTTCTGACACTTAGTTTTGGTGGACGACCAGATTTCTTTTTGTTTTCCTGTTCCTTACCTTCATGGCAATCCTTTAAAACACGAAATATGCTTGAACGTGAGATTGGTTTGTCTTTGAATTTCGCAAGTATTTCTTTTGTACTTAGTTTGCCAAAACAATCTGCGACAGACTTGCGCAAATCCAGTTTGTACGACATTGCGAATGGAAATGTTTGAACATTTTGCACTTGAAAGTAAAGTAGGAGTACCTTTTGTGTCTCCTATGTGCGTTGGTTGACATTTTCGTATTTATTGTTGTAGTGTTATAGACGCCTAAATTTAGTCCAAAAACTTATGATACATATGTTATATCTGAGTTAATTGTAATGACAATATGAGTTTTTTTATTATTCACTAACAAAATATTAGAATTGAAACGATTATTAATAATTATAATTTTATCAATGTAACAAGAATTACCTATAAATAAAATCATTGGGTACACTTTTTTTGCATCGGTACATACTCTAACTATCTTCATAGTAATGCCATACGTCATTTTGTCAAAGTAACAACATAATTTGTTGTAGTGTTTGAATAATGTCAAGATTTGAACCATCAAAACAACATTTGCGAGAAGCAATGATTTTCTGCTTCCATCTGAGGAAAAAGGCTGTGGATTGTCATCGAATGTTGAAGAAAGCTTACGGGGATAATGCTCCGGCAATTAATACCGTTGAAGATTGGTATCGACGATTTAAAAGTGGTGACTTTGATATAGAAGATAGAGAGCGCACTGGACAGCCCAAAAAATTTGAAGATAATGATTTGTTAGCATTATTAGAGAAAGATCCTCGACAAACGCTTAAAAGATTGGCAGAAACATTAAATGTAACTGGATCGGCTGTTAGTAAACGTCTGAAAATGATGGGAGTGATTCAACAGCAAGGACGTTGGATAACTAGAACCGTAGATACCGATTGCTTGGTAAATAAAAGTGTTTGAAAGTTGATTCTCCCAACAAAAATTAATTACAGTACCCAATATACTTATAACATACACACATTTGGATAAGCATAAAGAGAAAATCAACCATCAGAGCTTATTGCAAGGAAATTATTGCTTTTTCACCAAACAGCAACATAAATTACAAAAAAAAAACAGTAAATTTACTCAAATTATAGCAAAAAATAAATTTCAAATTAAAAATCCTTTTATTTGTTACAAATACAATTTTCAGCAAAAGAAAAAAAATATCCAATTTCAAAACAAACGAAATAAAATTATATTAAATAAAATAAAATAAATATAATTAAATAGTATTTTTTGGACAAATCAACTAAAAAAATGATGATTGGTAATAACCAAAATAATCTGATAAAAGTTTGGCCAGCAATCTTTTTCGATAAACGATTATTTTCAAAACAAAATATACAGTATACACACGCAACGACAACTAGTCGAATGATTTCCGTTATATGGCAGTATGAACTCACAATTATCATAGCAAGAAAAATGGTGACTCTAGTAAACTTAACGGAGATTGTCCGTTTGATTTCTTGAAGTTTCATTGCTTTTTTTTAAATACACAATAAATAATTAAATTCGGTAATTTTTTTAAAATGACTAATGAAAAAAAAACAATTTTCAGATCTGATTTTCTATATTAGTAGTCTAGATTTAGCCAATGTTAATTGTGAGTTATCGATAACGCTACGTAGGAGATGGAAGCGCGGTTCACTTATTTTTCTCATCAAAGAATGACACATTTTCTTTTTTTTCCCTTTTCAAACAAAGTCATAATTAAAATCAATTGAATCTTGGTAAAAAGAATCAATGTCGCCAACATTCGTGTGTTTAATCCAGGGGCAGGGTCGCATATAATTTTATACTAGTATAAACGCAGACGCAACATATCCATCACTGTTCGCTATGTATGAAGCATGCGAATACATGTTCGTGTGTGTATGTGACCGTGTATTGAGAGACGCTAGCACATACATTGTATTTAATGAGCGCAGCACAAAGCGAACAGCGACAGATATGTTGCGTCTGCATTTATACGACCCGGTCCCTGGTTTAATCATGAATTCAGCATAATTCTAAAGTCCATCCCGTAAAAATTTTCTGACTGCGGTGTATACACAATGTATTCCAGACATGCGTCACTAACACTCAGCAAATAAATCTATGACCGTCATATTTTCTATTCCTTTTTCTCTCTATCTTTCTTTCTCTATCATTTCATTCCATTAAGTCTTGGAAGGTTTCTGTGATGTATAATAGCATAATAGCAGTTGTTTGTCTTCTGGAGATTTTAAACGTTTGCAAGTTTTTATATTTTTTTTTTTAATAAATTGAAATAGGCGATATGACTGAAATGAACGGAAGTTTCCAAAAAAATGTGAATAGCAGAAGAGGTTCACATGTGATGCGCATTAACGAGCTTATAATGTTATCACGTCATATTAACTCCCAATGCACGGCTGGCATTTTCATAAACGACATAACTGATTGATACAGCTGGTAATACCTTGATGAAATTGGGTGTTATTCCCCGATATAGACCCGAAAATCCTTCCGTTCTTACAATGTGTTTGAAAACTCCTCCCATTGTCATTGTGCTATCTTTTTGTATCAATGTACCGGTTTTAATTACTGCAATAAAAAAGAGCATTTAAATGATTAAATGTATGGCTTGACCATTTTGATGTTATTGATATTTATGAAATATGACTTACCTTGTGCTTGTAATCGAGTTCTAACTAATGCCAATGGATAGGAGCAGACTTGTCCGAGCGTTGATGACATACTGCCACATGCCAACAATACCCAAAAGCTCGGCTGCTCATTTTCGTATTGACTTAAGTATTTGTTTTTAAGCGTTTCGTAAACAGCCAAATCGATGCCGGCGTACGGTATAATTCCGAGTAGGTTTGGTGTATAGCCCCGATAAAAGCTACGAATGCCTTCATTTCCGTAAATTTTAAAGGCTGCATCTAAAATGCTGGAATATTGACCCGTTTTTCGTAGTGCCAAACGTGTTTTTAGCACTTCCAATGGGTAAATAGCTGTTTGGCTAATTCCACCGGCAGCAGCACCAGCTGCAAATCGTTCATAAATACTCATTGGTCTATTTTCATTTCGTCGAATCAATTGTTTAATTTGTTCATATGCAGCGAATTTCAAGGCACTTTCTGGTGCTATTTTCAGTACATTTATGCCATTTCCACGCCAAAAACTGGATACTCCACCTTCTTTTAGCATGTATCGAAAACTCTCGGAAATGCCCGCTTTTGTTGATTGTACCTGAAGAAAAATCTTTATTCTGTCTAATGGCGCTGTACATGTTCTCGAAATCGCGCCTGCAATACCACCAGCAGCCAGATGTCTCCACACTTTACCACTTGCCATTTCATTTGCTGTGAAATCATCAGGAACATTCATATCCTCACCGATGTCGATGCACTACAAAATAACAAAACATTCTCAAATTAATTTTCATAATTGTTTGCATTTTTAATTGTCATTGTTGCTCTCGTCATTCGTTTTCCACGTCGACAGAGGCTTACTTTTTGATTACAATAATACAAAAATATAAGGAGACCATTGGTTAGAAATTTAGCTGATATTGCAATATTGACATTTGATGAAACATTTTATGTTTGATACGCAGTACTGCTCAATGCTATCATTCAGTCATTCCAAAGTATAACCCGTACAGTGTCGTTTAAAAAATAATGCATTCATCATGGGGTCAAATGAACGATGTCGTCAGCTGAAATGTTGTTTCTTTAGATTGCAAGAGTAATTCAAAATTCCAATGTTTCGATTTAACTTGTCGATAATAATATTAAATGCAATATCTCTATATTAAGTATTAAGATGAGCACTTCAAGTCCCACATTCATTCTCAGATATTCATATTTTAACTTTTGTAAAAAAAAATTGCATTAGTTCGTTATCATTCTCAATTGTGTCTTACTATTTACACAAAGCGACGACTGTCTGGGGCACAAAACATACACTCACACACATACTGGGTGATCAATTGATGTGCGATTTCATATCGTATCAAGAGAAAGTAGAACAGATTAACTGAAACACCAATTATTGTATATTATATACATATAAGCAAAGCAGTGGCGAGTAATTTATTGAACTTTGGTCATTTAAGGGAGAAAATAAAATCAAACAGATAGAAAAAGCATGTCAATTCACGTTATAAAAACTGATCCAAAAACAACAGGAAAAAACGTTTATTTAAAAAATTACAATTCAGGAATAGACATTCTAATGGTAGATTTGTTTTGGGTTTCATTCAATCACTTCATTTAGTTGGTAAAATCTCTATGATGGGTGTTCCATTCGAGTGAAATTCCATAACGATTTATTTGTCAAAACAATGATAATTGCGAGGCACTTCAATTGAAGTTAATAGAAAGAAAAATTTCAGTCTGAAATAGGTTCATCTCGAATTGTATCAAATGATTTCAGCTGAAAAGATATTGCATCATATTGTGACTGTGATCAGGAAAAGGAAAGATCTATAAAATCTTCGAACCTTTTCCATTACATATGTATGTATGAAATAAAATAAAAAATTGCGCACATTTCAATCAGCTACGGTTGTTTTGAAGAGAAAGATAATTAACGGCAATACTTGAGACATAAGTAAATATTTTTATTTTGATTTAAACGTAATAGAACGTGCATCAAATACCGGTACAATTCCGGTATGTTTCAATCATTTTTTCTTGTGACGTCAAATAATTTAAATGCCGACTTTGCAGTACCGCACATGTTAGTTTGATTTGTTTTATTAGTCGTTATTTATTTAGTTGATGTTGCTGTACAATCGCTCTAATTGAATCATATGGCTTTGGAAATTAAGACAATTGTTTACAAAATGATTCGAGAGGAAGTCGACAGAAATTGATTTTGTGACACCGTGAGTATTTCCATGGAATTTGTAGTGAAACTCTGCCGTTAAAACGATAACAGATTTTCACATGATAATTAAGTGAGATACTATACGATGAATGGGCGTAAATGAGTTTTATTTTCTGGATCATTTATGTTTGCAATTTAGATAATTGGATGTTATTTTCAGTTTTGTTTGATTTAACAACGAAGGCACATTTGGAGGCAAATGTTTCATACACTTTGATCTATTCTCGAAATAATCAGTTGTTATATATTTTTCGTCAAAGGTTTTGATCGTAAATGATCAACAAGTTTGTGCGTACGTAAGTTGTACTTGTTATTTTTCTCTCATATGTTACCAACAGCATTATTTATTTTATGACGTATATAAACAGACCCATTTTGTGTAAATAACAGAACTAGACATGACACGATGATTTGCTTTTTTTCTCTGTATCGTTTTCCCTTGTCACTGTCTAGATCGTTGTGATATCACTGCACCTTAGAACAAATCGTCTCCTACGATTTCACATACATACGGCGTATAAAAAGATAATGTATAACATACCTTTCTGTATTGGTTGTTTGTTCAATTTCTATTTTCAAAGTTCAGTTTATTGTTGTCTAATTGTTGCGCGTGTCAATTCTAGAACAAAATCATTTCAATAGCGCGCTACTTGACTTGCAGTTTACAATCTCTTCAATTTCAATGATGCATTAGCACCGATTTCTGCCTTTTATCATGTCGTTTAAAAAAAACCGATTACATCTCACATTGAGTGGATCTATACAACGATCGTAGACATTCATTGTCAAATAAATACTCTTTGTATTAATTGGTATTTTTGCATTCAATTTTAATATGCACCATATCATACAAGTTTTTAAACTTAAATTTTTTACCACCAAATATTTATAGAATCATTCAAATTATCGTGAATATTTTGTGTGGCATTTATTCGTGCATTAATCGGGGATAATTGCCTTTAAATGATTTGCGAATCGCGTTTTAGGAATATGAGAAAAAGAAAGAAAAAGAAATCCGCTTACCAGAGCCATGTTGTGTTTTACACATACGAATATTAAAAAAAAAACAATTCAAAGAAAGTCAAGTTCAAGAATTCGATCGAGCGACAGACAAATACGAATTAACAAAAGATTAATAATAAAATTAGTCTCGACGAGGCCATACAAATATTTCATTTTACATCTACTAACATTTCACACTTCCACTAAATAGATAGAGTACATGGTTTACAAGTTTTCTCAACTTAATTAGTTTACGAATTTCTAACACAAACTTAAATCATTTGTGTATGTCCAATGCATTTTTCTGCTGTTTTTTTTTCTTCATTGGCTTGTGCCAAAAATAAAATGTACATTGTACATGCTGGCGGAAGTATTTTTCATCAATTTTTCGAATCGGACTACACATATCTGATTTGCGGAATTAAAAAAAAATAAAATAAAATGTCTTACATCCGTAAGATGAACTTTTCCGCGCTGTGATCCACAACATGCATTTATTACGTATCTTTTACCTTAAATATGAATTCATGAGAAAACTGAATCTGATATAAGTTTTGCGATACAAATAATTTTTGTTGGACTTTTCAATGCCTGTATGATATCGTAATCATGTGAAAATTTGCAGATGTTATTTTTTTCACAAAAAGCTAACATTCTGAAAGTTTGAAGAAATTTCAATACAATTGAGTTTTCATACAAAATTTTCGTTTTTGAGCAAAAAATCCAAAATGTTGTTTGGGAGGTACCCCTAATTTGCATTGAAATCTCTTCAAACTCTCGAAATGTTATTTTTGCGTGAAAAAAATAACCTGTGCAAAGTTTCAGCTCATTACGATATCATTCAGGCATGGTTTTCATAAAAAAATCAATTTTTTTTGAAAAATTTCAATGAAAAGTGTGTCAAAATATATTTGTATCGCAAAACAAACGTCATATCGGTTTTCTCGTACCCAAAAAACCCCCATTACATATTTTTGAGTGTTTAGGAATACATTAAATATCACTTTTGGAAGAAAAATTGAATTTTTCCTATGGATGGCCATGGGCATCACACCAGACATGACACGTCACTCTATCAACCAAAGTCGCTCAAAATCTAATGGTTTCTATTCATCGGCACCCCCAATCATCCTGTGAAGTCAGATTTTAAATTACTTTTCTTGTTTGAAAGTTATCGTATTAACAAATATTAGCGTACAGGGTACAGGGTACAGGATACAGGGTACAGGGTACCACGCACATACATTCGGACATCGAAAAATTGACTGATTCGTGTTCCCTGGCTCCAAAAACACCCAGAAAACATGTTTTTTGAGGGTGTTAATTTTTCGACCGATTCCAATACTTTACCATACACACTGGGTGTGTGCGGAAAAGTCAAAACTGATTGACCCGCATTATTTTTATCTTTATGCCATTGATATATTATGATATATAGCGAAGATTGTTGCATATATGAATCATATTGCGTTTGCGTTAAACCCTTTTCACGAATATTAATGATAAAGTAAATTTAAAAAAATGCGAACCAAGTGGGTCTTACATTTCTTGTATGCAGAGTATATAAGCCTTATGTAATTTTTGTGAATGGGAAAGACCCGCCATATAGATATTTAGACGAATGGTTGTGATTCATTCATATTTCGTAGTAATTTCAAATCTAAACGATTGACATTCTCTTTTTAAGTTAACGACAAAAAAACTGGTATTTTAACGTTGATTATGTATTTTGTATTAAAAATCAAACATATGCATTTGTTTTAAATTTTTATATGTATGTGGTTTGCTTAGAAACAGATTTTTTGAAACGAAGAATGATATGATTAAAACACAAACCTTCGCGATTATTTCCCGAAAAGCCATAGCCAAATCTTCCAGAAAATCACCAGCCAATGGTACGTTAAATTGATCGTAGGCCATTTTTAGATCTTGAATTTTTTATTTTATTCGCGTTTGAGAAAAGTAATCATGCGATATTTCGCAATTTTATTTCACTTTTTAATTTGTCGCAAAAATGTGATATCGTTGTGTTTTAATAGCTTTACTGGCCCATAGAATTATCACTTGTCTTTTTTTGTTTTCTTTTTTTTCGCTTCTATTATTTTTCAAATTAAATGTAGCAAAAATAACAAAAACACTGTTGAACATTCACTTTCATTTAGATTTCGACCAACTTCCTCCCTCTCTTCTTATGATATTATATGCAAAATTTGCCACTACCAAATTACAGCTTTTTTCATGAATTGTACGAATAAAAAAAGGTAACTGTTGCGGTTAATGTTGAACGTGAAGTGATGCTTCACGCTTGAAGCTATAGAAAAAAAGTACGTCTGTAATTATCGGCACTTGGGCACAAACTAAACGTTTGGTTTTTTAAATGTGCAGTGAACTTAAAGATCATTACCACGCGCGCACTACTACAATCATAGGTGCGCTAGCTTCTACCATCACATACATGCTTAAATGGTTGAGCTATGCCGCGAGATAACAATTTTCGGTTCACATGTTCAATG